ACTCACACCATAGACTCACACACCATAGACTCACACCATAGACTCACACAAACACCATAGACTCACACCATAGACTGACACCATAGACTCACACTCACACACCATAGACTCACACCATAGACTCACACCATAGACTGACACCATAGACTCACACACACTATAGACTCACACCATAGACTCACACACCATAGACTGACACCATAGACTCACACACCATAGACTCACACACCATAGACTCACACCGTAGACTCACACCATAGACTCAAACAACATAGACTCACACCATAGACTCACACCATAGACTCACACACCATAGACTCACACCATAGACTCACACACCATAGACTCGCACACCATAGACTCACACCATAGACTCACACACGATAGACTGACACCATAGACTCACACACCATACACTCACACCATAGACTCACACCATAGACTCACACCATAGACTTACACACCATAGACTCACACACCATAGACTCACACCCACACCATAGACTCACACCATAGACTCACACCATAGACTCACACTATAGACTCACACCATAGACTGACACCGTAGACTCACACACCATAGACTTACACCATAGACTCACACACCATAGACTTACACCATAGACTCACACACCATAGACTCACACACCATAGACTCACACCCACACCATAGACTCACACCATAGACTCACACCATAGACTCACACTATAGACTCACACCATAGACTGACACCATAGACTCACACACCATAGACTTTCACCATAGATTCACACACCATAGACTCACACACCATAGACTCACACACTATAGACTCACACACCATAGACTCACACCATAGACTCACACCATAGACTTACACCATAAACTCACACACCATAGACTCACACCCACACCATAGACTCACACACCATAGACTCACACCATAGACTTACACCATAGACTCACACACCATAGACTCACAGCATAGACTCACACACCATACACTCACACACCATACACTCACACACCATACACTCACACCCCATAGATTCACACCCACACCACACACTCTTTCACCGCCGATTAGCACGGTTGGCTGCGTCCGGCGCGAAAGAAGTTCAGCGTGCACCCCGTGCTTACGAGCAACGCGCACGGGAGCCTTCCTCGCTGCGCTGACTAAAGTTGCCAGACACCTCGCTGCGGTCACAGAGAAGGCCGTCGGCCACTTTTCCTCCAGTGCCTCCGCCGCTAAAAGCGCTTCACATTCACGCATTGTACGTGGCTGGAGGCTGGGCCAGCCGTATTACAGCGTCCCCACTTTGCAAATCCGAAATGTGGACGGTTCCAATGGCCGGTCAACTCCGAAGCGTGGACATTTTCCACCGTTGAAGCTCGGGTGAGGGCTGCCGCGTCCGTCGTTGCGTTGAGATGCTGCGACGTTCTTGGTGGCTAGGAGATGTTAACTCCTTTGCCTGGTACACAGGAGGTCGTGGGTTCGATCCCGACCCTGACGCATGCTGTATACTTGGTTTTTGCGTGACTCTCTCACTTATCATCATCATCACCACGGTGTCGGGGAGATGTTTACTACCTCGCTTGGTATACAAAAGGTCGTGGGTTCGATCCCGACCCTGACGATGCCTGCTGTATATTTGTAGTTTGCGTGTCTCTCTCTCATCATCATCATCACGGTGGCTATGAGATGTTAACTACCTCGCACGGTATACAGGAGGTCGTGGGTTCGATCCCGACCCTAACGATGCCTGCTGCTGTATATTTGGAGTTTGCATGTCTCTCTCTCTTTCTGTCTCATCATCATCACGGTGGTTAGGAGATGTTAACTACCTCGCCTAGTATACAGGAGGTCGTGGGTTCGATCCCGACCCTGACGATGCCTGCTGCTGTATATTTAGAGTTTGCGTGTCTCTCTCTCCCCGTGGTCGTGTGGATTTTTCTCCGGGTCCTCCGGTTCTTCCTTCCACATTTAGGATCAACATCGCGCATTCAGATTATTTGCCTGCCGTAAATGTCCACGTGATAAGCCACTTCGTTGACCTACCATTTGCGATAGCCAAGCCTCTTCTGAAAGAGATTTATGGAACTCATTGGGGCCTTGCCCGGTAAAATAAAAATTGTTTCAAATTAGTTTTTTTTTCATTTCGAGATTCTTTTTTAGTCTTCACATTCAACTCACTTGAGCAACTGCAGTGGGGAACTCAGCGCTCTACGCAGTCGGCGACAGAACTTGGTCTTTGATATTCTTCGTATTCGTCTTTTGATTTAAAGCTTTCGTGACTGCAGGGATTCATTTTCTTGGTTCTTTCGGGAAAGTCACCGCGTAGAAGGGAAACAATAAAATAATAAAAAAATATAAACCAATACAATTCTCACGACGTTTCGACTGGAACACCAAGCAATCATCATCATCAGGTGTGAAAACCACAGCAAGAAAAATGTGAAAAATTTGAAAATTATCATCAGGTGTGAAGTCCACAGCAAGAAATGTTTTAAAAATGTGAAACAAATAATTCTTGCTGTGGTTTTCACACCTGATGATGATTGCTTCGTGTTGCAGTCGAAACGTCTTGAGAATTTTATTTTTTATATTTGTATTATTTTATTGTTTCCCTTCTACGTGGTGACTTTACCGAAAGATACCCAAGAATATGAATCCCTGCAGTCACGAAAGCTTTACATCAAAATTCTTCTTCTTCTTCTTTCGTATGGCATTGGGTGGGTGGAGTTGGTTGGCGGACAATAGTTTGCGAAGATGATGTCACGGATGAATGTCGAGGTCCTTCGACCAATCCGAGGCGGCGGGAGACGCCGTACGGAACGGCGGCGATAACCGCCGGGGTGGGTGTGTGCGCGTGGCTTTACAGCAGCCGCACGTTGGCAATTGGACACGTGGTCGTAGGCTTTCGCCGCCGATGTTATTTCAATCTGTGATTTGAAGATTTCGTGACTGCAGGCATCCATACTCTTTGGTTCTTTCGGTAAAGCCACGTCGTAAGAAACACGTGCAGCAGTTTCCCTGCCGTGATTGTCTCACCTGATGACCTTCAGGAGTTTTTTCCTGCCGTGATTGTCTCACCTGATGACCTTCAGGAGTTTTCCCTGCCGTGATTGTCTCACCTGATGACCTTCAGGAGTTTTCCCTGCCGTGATTGTCTCACCTGATGACCTTCAGGAGTTGTTCCTGCTGTGATTGTCTCACCTGATGACCTTCAGGAGTTTTCCCTGCCGTGATTGTCTCACCTGATGACCTTCAGGAGTTTTTCCTGCCGTGATTGTCTCACCTGATGACCTTCAGGAGTTTCCCTGCCGCGATTGTCTCACCTGATGACCTTCAGGAGTTTTTTTCCTGCCGTGATTGTCTCACCTGATGACCTTCAGGAGTTTTTCCTGCTGTGATTGTCTCACCTGATGACCTACAGGAGTTTCCCTGCCGTGATTGTCTCACCTGATGACGGTCGCTTGTATTCGATTAATTTCTACTTACGTGACTTTACCGAAAGTTATCAAAGAGTACGCTATTATTTCATAAGACGATGTTTTTTTTTTGCGTGTTCGTTAGATCGCTTCACTGTAAATGCGTCGTTACACCCGTCACCACTCGACGCAGACATTCTGTAAGGTTCCGGCACGTGAATTGCCATGCCTTGGTTACGCGGCAAACCTTGCTGCAATTTGGCTGTGTCACGTGGTGGCGGGATTAACGGCGCGTTAGGCGATGTAACCCAAGAAGAAAACTGTACATTGCACTCCTAGTTGTGTTTTTTAAAATATATTGTTTGTTGTTGCAACGTTCTGACCCCGTGCCCCAAACCGGGCATCTGTGATAAAAAGAGCTTAACGGTCCATTGGATTCTTCCCGTAGTATAAATAAACCATGATGATCCTTTCTAGATTTAAAGCTTTCGTGACTGCTAGGATCCATACTCTTTGGTTCTATTGGGTAAAGTCACGTAGGTGAAAATAAAATAACAAAAAATCACGACGTTTCGGCCACAACACAAGCGGCCTTCATCAGGTGAACGGACGAGACTGTCTGGAGGACAGCGCTGGAGTGGAAGAAGCCATGCTTAGATCACGACCTTTAAGCTGTGTGAAAATAAAAAGACCACGCGCCTTGACAAAGGAATTAGCATATAATTTAGCATTGAAATGGCCATTGAAATAGCTAAGTTAAAGTATACACATCCGCAGAGGTACCCCTTGACAAAGGAATTAGCGCTGGAGTGGAAAAAGCCACGCTTAGGTCACTATTTCTGTGACCAGTTACAAGCTAATCACTCAGCTATTTCAATGCTAAATTCGATGCTACTTCCTTTGTCAAGGGGTACCTCTGCGGATGTGTATACTTTAACTTAGCTATTTCAATGAGCCATTTCAATGATAAATTATATGCTAATTCCTTTGTCAAGGCATTTGGCCTTTTTCTTCTCACGCAGCTTAAAGGTCGTGATCTAAGCGTGGCTTCTTCCACTCCAGCGCTAATTCCTTTGTCAAGGGGTACCTCTGCGGATGTGTATACTTTAACTTAGCTATTTCAATGAGCCATTTCAATGCTAAATTATATGCTAATTCCTTTGTCAAGGCGCGTGGTCTTTTTCTTCTCACACAGTTTAAAGGTCGTGATCTAAGTGTGGCTTCTTCCAATCCAGCGCTGTCCTCCAGACAGTCTCGTCCCTTCACCTGATGAAGGCCGCTTGTGTTGTGGCCGAAACGTCGTGATTTTTTGTTATTTTATTTTCACCTACGTGACTTTACCCAATAGAACCAAAGAGCATGATGATCCTATTCTTGGTTATTTCGGTAAAGTCACGTTGAAGGGAAACAATAAAATAATAATATATATAAAGCAATGAAATTGTCACGACGTTTCGGCTGTAACACAAACAGCAAACAGTCATCATCAGATGAACCAAGAATATGAATCACTGCAGTCACGAAAGCTTTAAATCAAAATTTCATGCTGATTCTTTTGGGTTTATTTGATCGTCTTCTTCTTCCCCAGGATGGTGAAGTTTGAATGCTGCCCCGGATACATGAAGGTGGAAGGCGAGAGAGGCTGCCCTGCCAGTAAGTATTGGTGACGCGTTCGATCATTTTAAACCCTTCTACCCTGCCGATACGTGGCCACAAGTTGCCGGGTCGGGTGGTGTCCCGCTCACCGCTGAATCCCGGCACGCACGGGCGGCTCAGCGTGACTTTTATTTTAAAAAGGGCGTAGCAGGGCCGTTGTTGTTTTTTTTAAAGACGCCGTTACTCACCGCAGAGAACTGTGGCGACACGACCACCGCACTCTGCGATAGCCGGCGCCGACACTGTGATACACGCCCTCCCGCATGGCCTTGATTACGTTCACGAGTGGGTGTGTGTAACGCCGACGTTATCGGAATGGAAAAGGGTTCATTGCAAAACGTATGTGCTGTGAAGAAGGGCCATCATTGTCTGCAACGTCGACTGTCATTTATTTTTTACTTGTTTAAGGCCGCAACGTTGCTGCCAGATGTGTTGAGTCTGACGAGATAAAACAATCTGAACGGGCTTTACCAGCCAAGGAAAAAAACACACACCGTGTGCAAATGAGGACCAATACTCCATCTACATGTGATGTAAAACGAGGTGAGAGCAATGTACTGATGAGACTTCAATCATTGCAAAATAAACGATTGCAAAGATGATGACAATCGTTTGGAATGAAACGAGATGGATAAAACAGAATATCATCGTGCTGTTTAGCTTAATTATACTGGCAGGGATACTTTCTCGAGATATGAGACCCGGTCAATAGTAGGCGCACGCAGTTTGGGTATTTATAATTGTAAACACGTTGATTGATTTGTATCACAAATATGATCCCTAATCGTTTACAATCTGAATCAAACGTGCTGTAAGGCTCTCGCAACCCAAATTAAATTTCATGCTTGATTTGTGAGTCAGATCCCCGTAGGTAAAAGGTGTTTTTAAGGGGTGCCACGGTGGCTAGGAGATGTTAACTCCCTCACTTTGTATGCAGGAGGTCGTGGGTTCGATCCCGACCCTTAACGCCTGCTGTATATTTGGAGTTTTCACGTTCTCCCCGTGGTCGCGTGGATTTTTCTCCGAGTCCTCCGGGTTTTTCCCCTCCACATTTGGAATCAACATCACGCGTTTTCGAGTATTTGGCTGTGGCTATAAATGTCCACGTGATAAGCCACTTTTTCGAGCTATCGTTTGTGGCCAGGTCGCTTCTGAAAAACGAGCAATTCAGTTCAGTGGGCCTTAGCTGGTAAAAAATTTTTTTAAAGACAGTTTAGTTTTAGTCGTACACCCTCCACCACCCGACTAATGAAGTCATCACGTGACGAACAAATGTTGCTTCAGCACCACCGGTGCGCTGCTGGAGAGCGATCCATACGATACTGGCAGTTGCCAGAATTGCTATCCAATCTGATATAATTTTTTGGGGGGGGGAATTTGTCGAAGTATTGTTTCGAAGGTGGAGCATTTCGAGTCACATTTCCAGTTTGAACTGAATGGATGATATCAGAATGCGAATCTGTATTCATACTGGAGGAATCCGATGAGCTATAAAGCTCTTTTTCCTGCAAACCAAAAATTCCCAACGGGCATTACTTCTCAATGCCAAGGGGAGACGGCCGCGGTCATTATAAAGCGATCACGGACCGTGACCTTCAAAACGATTACAGCAGTGGTTATCGAGGCGAAGGTCAAGAGGTCATCACAGACAATGTTGTTGATGAACCCGATGCGACCGCACCTCTGCATCACCACCCTCCCTCCCCCCTTCTCATAGATCCCCAAAGGTATTGGCGCAGTGCAATCGATTTGCACCGTCACACACACACGCTTTTGTCAATCCACTGATTGATGACAGCTTGCCCATGCCCTGTCACTTGTGGGGGTTGTTAGACTATACCTCACCGCATTAAACAAATCATTTGCTGACTTGATTCGAAGCTTTCGTGACTGCAGGAATTACTCTTTGTTTTTTTCGGTAAAGTCACGAAAGCTTCGAATCAAGTCTGAACCACCTCTACGGGGAGGTATGAGGTTTGTGTCTTTGTGTTGTCTCTGCTTGTGTATCTGCCTTTGTGTCTTGGCTTGGATTTGTGTCTCTGTGCTGTCTCTGCCTGTGTGTGGGCCTTGGTGTTTCCGAGTGTGTGCTGCTGCGCCCCCCTTTGCTCCATGCATACCTCATGCTAAATTGTCCCATTGTCTCTCAGCCTTACCTTCTCTGCCTATTTAAGGCGACTTCACTGTGTGCGTGTCTGTGCTGGTTCGCTCTACTTGGATGTCTATGTGTGTATGCGCGGTCTGTATTTTAAATTTCATAATTAACTTGCAATTGAGCAATCTTTGAACTAGCGTAATCAACCGGACTATGCGTTAATTGTGTTTTGACCGACCGTCTGTGTTGCTTTATATGGATTCCAAATTTTGCTAAACCCTGTTTGTTTGGTATGATTCTCTCTCTGTGTCCCCTGTTGTATCTGTGTTAGTTCCCCCCTACTTGTGTGTCTGTATATACATCTGGGGTTATGTGTTTCCTCTCTCTCGTAAAATTAGGCTCTTCTGTACCTGATGAAGGCTGCTTGTGTTGCAACCGAAAGTCGTACGCTATTATGTTATTTTATTATTTCTTATTTATACGTGACTTTACCGAAAAAAACAAAGAGTAAATCATTTGCTGCTGCTGCTGCTGACATTGGCACACGCACAACAACTAACAACAACAACAAACCCCGACTCAAGACACTTCTCAATAACACCGTGGCCTTAAAAAGTGTTTATATATTGAATAATAATAATAGGCGACATTTCGAGACAGGGCCCAGGGCCGTTTGAGATGCCCATTCATTCATTTCATTTCATTCAAGGCCGACACCGTGGCCCTCTCGCCGTACCCACTACACCCAGGGTCTCGGGTGACGGAACACTTGGGGGAGGAGGAGGGGGGGGAGGGGTCGGCGCCTACCATTCCTTTGAGTGGTCGCAGTTAACACTTCGAAACGTTGACCGCCAAACCTGGAACGGAGTGAGCGTAATTTGCTGCAGAGGTTTGGGCATCGAGACGGTAGGGGGGGAGGGGGGGGGGGAGCGAGAAGTGACAGCGCCGTCTGCTATCGCCTCGGTACAAAGCTCGCAATCGCTGAAGGGTACCGGTCCGTGGCCTGTTAGGAACCGGGCCGCACAGCAGGAGGTGAGAGCGGTGAGTCCGAGCGTGGCCCACCAATTGTTTTATTATTCACCACTGCCATCCCCGCACTACGCACTACGCACCTTGTCTCAGTCACGTGGTGTTGGTAAAAGCCCACAAGCTCTAACCCCCTAGTAGTAGCCACAATGAGTTAAAAACACAAACGTGGCTGGAGAGCTTCTTTGAAAAAGGGGGAAAGACCCAATGATGAACCACCCCCATCCCCCCCCAACCCCCCGCGGTCCGTGAAAAAAATTGTCTTCCACGAAACCCGTCCCTGGTGCCAAAAAGTTTGGGGACCGCTGCTGAATGGCACCGACGTAACGTCAGTCGTGGCGGTACCACGACTTCTGACGGAGCCAAGCGGATGACATCCCCCAAATCCCCGCCGACGGTTTAGCCACGGCTGCGAATGGAACCTCAGGTCCGCCAGGCTCGCAGCACGGCGCGTTAACCACGGGGGCTGGCGTGGGCCCTGGTGAAATGAATGAAGAGGTCACCCACTCCCAACGTCTAATTTCACCAAGTTCCATGACCCGGCTCCTGGGCTGGCTCCCTCCATCCCTCCCTCCCTCCCTCCCTCCCACCCTCCCTCCCTCTCCTCCCTCCCTCCCTCCCTCTCTCCCTCCCTCCCTCCCTCCCACCCTCCCTCCCTCTCCTCCCTCCCTCCCTCTCCTCCCTCCCTCCTTCACCGTGGGTCACGGTGAAGTTTCACTACCCTACGTACGCACACCTGTCAACCCCTTACCAGTGCCCTACCTTATTACAGACCAACTCAGACCTTATGCGTCACCCCGTGCCCCTTATAAATCTCAACTTTCATCCTAAAAAGTCCCATCACAAGGGAGAAACACAAATTCACAAAACCATTGTTTTTGTTTTGCCCGTATTGAAACGGCTGTACGCCATATGGACCTGCAAAACTCAATTTCCCTGTATAAGAATACGGGGTAAACCGTGTATGGGTTGACACGGCATGCGTGCGTGTGTGTGTGTATGTTGAACTTCTTTCGCGCCGTACGTAGAGGTGGCCACCGGGACCATGAGGACCTTGTGCGAAGACGAATGCCGTCGATCGCTTTTGTACGTCAACTATAGACGAAAACTATGTTTTTATTTTAACCAGGTAAGGCCCACTGAGCTAAGCGGCTCTTTGTTTGCAGACGCGAGCTGGCTATCACAAACGATAGCTCAACGAAGTGGCTGAACGTGTGGGAATTTATAGTCGCCGAATACTCTCAAGCGAACGTTGATTCGAAATGTGGAGGGGGAAAACCCGGAGGACCCGGAGAAAAATACACGCGACCATGGGGAGAGAGACACACACAGACTCCAAATATACAGCAGGCATCATCAGGGTCGGGATCGAACCCACGACCTCCTGTATACCAGGCGAGGTAGGTAACAGCTCCTAGCCTCAGTGATGATGATGAGAGAGAGAGAGACACGCAAACTCCAAATATACAGCAGGCGTCAGGGTCGGGATCGAACTCACGACCTCCTGTATACCAGGCGAGGTAGTTAACATCTCCTAGCCTCAGTGATCATGATGAGAGAGAGAGAGACACGAAAACTCCAAAAATACAGCAGGCGTCAGGGTCAGGATCGAACTCACGACCTCCTGTATACCAGGCGAGGTAGTTAACATCTCCTAGCCACCGTGATGATGATGATGATGAGAGAGACACACAGACTCCAAATATACAGCAGGCATCATCAGGGTCGGGATCGAACCCACGACCTCCTGTATACCAGGCGAGGTAGTTAACACCTCCTAGCCTCAGTGATGATGATGAGAGAGAGAGCGAGAGACACGCAAACTCCAAATATACAGCAGGCGTCAGGGTCGGGATCGAACCCACGACCTCCTCCATACCAGGCGAGGTAGATGAAGGAGCGGATGAGGGAGTGAGTAAGATTGTGGGCAATAACGATTGAGTGAGATAGAGAGTAAAAATGGGTTGAAGTTTCAGGTATATTTCTTTTTTAACGGGTGAACACTCAACCAGTTCGTGAGAGAGTGTCCTGGATCACCAACATGTCAAAAGTTAAACAAATAAAACAAAACACAGCGATCCAGCAGGTAGAGATCGATGCAACCGGAGCAAAATAACCGCGACACATTGTCCAGGTCAACGTGACATGGGCAACATTACGAAGTGGATGTCTAAGATGATAATACTAATACTACTTGCAGCTTTCATCGTAAAATCTCAACGCATTCTGCATAACGATGGGAATGGGGGTTGGGTAAAAAGTGGCTGACGCCCAAATATTGAAGGCCCAGATAGTTCCACAGTGCGGGTGTCACGTGAGTGAAGGCCCAGATAGTTCCACAGTGCGGGTGTCACGTGAGTGAAGGCCCAGAGAGTTCCACAGTGCGGGTGTCACGTGAGAGAAGGCCCAGAGAGTTCCACAGTGCGGGTGTGTCACGTGAGTGAAGGCCCAGAGGGTTCCACAGTGCGGATGTGTCACGTGAGTGAAGGCCCAGAGGGTTCCACAGTGCGGGTGTCACGTGAGGGAAGGCCCAGATAGTTCCTCAGTGCGGGTGTCACGTGAGTGAAGGCCCAGAGAGTTCCACAGTGCGGGTGTCACGTGAATGAAGGCCCAGAGAGTTCCACAGTACGGATGTGTCACGTGAGTGAAGGCCCAGAGAGTTCCACAGTGCGGGTGTCACGTGAGAGAAGGCCCAGAGAGTTCCACAGTGTCACGTGAGAGAAGGCCCAGAGAGTTCCACAGTGCGGGTGTCACGTGAGCGAAGGCCCAGAGAGTTCCACAGTGTCACGTGAGAGAAGGCCCAGAGAGTTCTACAGTGCGGGTGTCACGTGAGCGAAGGCCCAGATAGTTCCACAGTGCGGGTGTCACGTGAGCGAAGGCCCAGAGAGTTCCACAGTGCGGATGTGTCACGTGAGTGAAGGTCCAGAGAGTTCCACAGTGTCACGTGAGAGAAGGCCCAGAGAGTCACGTGAGTGAAGGCCCAGAGAGTTCCACAGTCGGCGGAGTGGGGGAGGGGCGGGCGGGGGGAGGGGTGCTCACGGGCCCTGATAATGAATCAAACAGCAATCTCGTTAGGAGCGTTACAATGGGCAGTGGACAGCCTCACCCACCGCCCGCTTCCCCCCGATGCCAGCCGCAAGCATCCAGCCTAGCGCCGCTGTCAAGGCAGCCTCCGGGGGGACCTTTGCCAGCCAGAGCGTGAGCCCTTTGACAGCTAAAACGAGGCACTCTTCGCGGGGAACGGCTTTCCACGGCCTCTTTTCTGACAGCGTTGGGGAATCCACGCTGTTGGCACGACGAGTTAAACCTCTACGGTGGGGGGGGGGGGGGGGGTTTGTGCACGCACCATGGTCCGCCCCGATCAGCACGGTGGGCAACGTACGGTGCGAATGAAGTCCAGCGTACGTGCATACGCCTTACGGAACGCTCAGCCGGCTGCCGAGAGACCTTTTGCATTCGGCGACTCGTGCGCCAGGGAGAAGCGAGGTCACGCTGTGACTGTGTTCGATTTTTTGTTTTCCCCACAAATAAATTGATGAGGCTGGACGGCAGTGGCATTTAAATTTCGATTTAAAGCTTTCGTGACTGCAAGGATTCATCTTCTTTGGCTCTTTCGGTAAAGTCACCACGTAGAATTATTCTCATTCTCCATTCTACGTGACTTTACCGAAAGAACCAAAGGAGACAGTGGCCTTAAATTTCGATTTAAAGCTTTCGTGACTGCACGGATTCATCTTCTTTGGTTCTTTCGGTAAAGTCACCACGTAGAATTATTCTCATTCTCCATTCTACGTGACTTTACCGAAAGAACCAAAGGAGACAGTGGCCTTCCCTTTGCGAACGAAGTGAAACGTTGATTTAAACTAAAGAATAAAAAAAACGCGTGCTCTTGTTAACTTTGGGGCATCGCGGTGGCGAGAATAAGCTCACGTGGTATGCAGGAGGTCGTGGATTTGATCCCAACCCCCAATGCCTGTTGGTTGTATAATTGGCGTTTGCGTGTTCTGTCCGTGGCCGCGTGGATTTTTCTCCGGGTCATTCCGGTTTTTTTTCCCTCCACATTTAAGAAATTAACATCACGCATTTCAAGTTATTTTCCCGTTGTAAATTCTCCACCTGATGATGAGCCACTTCGTTGGGCTATCATTTGTGACCAGGTCCCTTAGCTCAGTGGGCTTTAACTGGTAAAATAAAAATAATCACAGCGTAACAACAAAAATAAAAAAATAAAATTGTTCCTGGGTAGTAAAGCGTTATTTTCCAATTGCTTATGCCTCAAAAGTACAGGAAATGGCTATTATTATTCCCCACAAGCTTTGCTTTTGTCACCAGGACAGTGATATTTTGAAATTTACCTATTGTCAATGAGAAAACGCGGTGTGCATTTGTGTCAATTCCTTCACGTAAAGTCCTGGTCACAAGAGCAAAGTTTGCGTGTGGAATAATAATAGCCACTTTCTAAACCTTTAAGGCATAAGCAATTGGAAAATAACACTTACTACCCAGGCACAAAAACTCGTGTTACATAGTGATATCATTTGTACATCTAAATCATGGGACCTCTTCTTTGGTTCTTTCGGTAAAGTCACGTAGAATGAGAATAAAATAATAAATTAATAAAATAAAATAACAATAAAATCCTCACGACGTTTTGGCCACAACACAAGTGGCCTTCTTCAGGTGAAAGGAACAGACCTGTCGGGACGACAGAGCTTCAATGAACGTTGTTAAGATTCGTAGCGTCTTTTAAGCTGGTTTAGTGTTATTTTATTTTATTAATTTATTATTTTATTCTCATTCTACGTGACTTTACCGAAAGAACCAAAGAAGATGAATCCTTGCAGTCACGAAAGCTTTAAATCGAAATCATGGGACCTCCTTTGCCAGTACGAAAATATGAGAAAACCTATTTATTGTTTTACATTACTCTGATAGTGGCATTGTCTTTGTGCTGTGTGACGCCTTGTGGCGTCCTCTCTGGTCTAACACCGTTTGAGACGAGGCTCAAATGAAAGTTGTCTCTGGTGTGGACCAATCAGTTTCACAGACAATGCACCATATATTTTTATTTAAAGCTTTCGTGACCGCAGGGATTCATATTCTTGGTTCTTTCGGTAAAGTCACCGCGTAGAAGGGAAACAATAAAATAATAAAAAATATAAAACAATAAAATTCTCACGACGTTTCGACTGCAACACAAGCAATCACCATCAGGTGTGAAAACCACAGCAAGATAATTTTCTTGCTGTGGCAGTCGAAACGTCGTGAGAATTGTATTTGTTTTATATTTTATTATTGTATTGTTTCCCTTCTACTTGACTTTACTGAAAGAACCAAGAATAGGAATGCACATATTATCAGAGTGTGTTTTTTGTTTGAATTTTGACCACAAGTATTGTGGTTAATGCAGACATGATTCCTTCTAAAAGGTTTCAGTTTGGTGTCTTAACAACTTAACACAACTGTTTTGTTGCCAGATAAAAAGGGGGGAAAACTTCTGCTCATTATTAGTAAAGTTAGTGAGTGAGTTAAATAGCCACAGATGCCAACTTGATGTGAGTTCCTGGGGGTGTGAGACACTCGATTGGAATCTGAGATGCTGATTTAAGGCAACCGCGCGCACAACCTGAACCTTTCCAGTGGGGAAAATAAAAATCAATCCTCCCCCCCCCATCCCCCACGCAGGAACGTGTGGGCAATAGCGCGAATTATCGAACGGACGACTCCGTACACCCCGCCGGTGTTGGCATGACGAGGGCTCCATCGCTCTGTGACAAAGTCGGTTTGCGATGTTCAGGAACAGCGATAACAACGACAAGAATCATCGTCGATGTCACGATCGTCGCGCGATTCGAGCGCTCGCCCGCCTTCGCGGCAGAAATCGTTTGAAGCGCCGCGCTGAAAGGCCCATCGCCCGAAACGTCGCCCGCCGCAAATACCTCTCCTTTCGAGGTCCGGCACGGCGCTACCGACGCACGTGTCGAGTTCGCCGCGAGGGAGGAGGCCACTCGCGAGGTGGTCTATGGGGGGGGGGGGGCAATGGGGGGTGGGGGGTGAGGACTAGACCCGAGTCGGAAACGAGGAACTTCCACCCCTCTCGTCGGCCTTCGTCGTTAGGGGCGAAGAGGGGAGAGAGAAGAAGAGACGCACGTGGCCTAAGAGCTCCCCCTCGACCGGTCGGGGCAGAGACTCCGACGACGCTGGCGTCTCGCTTACGACGACCCCCTCGCTGTCCGTGCTCCCCCCCCCCCCAATCACCACCCCACCCACCCCCCCCAATAGTCGCGCCTCTCACCAACATCTTCAGCACGCTGGAGGCGCTGGAGGCGAACACGACGCGCGACTACATCACCCGCGCCGGCCTGCGGGAAGAGCTCGAGACGCCCAAGGCCGTGACGATGTTCGCTCCCAGCGACGCCGCGTGGGCTCAGCTCGATGACGTGAGACCCCACCCCCCCGTTCTCACCCCCCCCACCCCCCCCGTTCTAACCCCCCCGTTCTAACCCCCCCGTTCTAACCGTCCCCCCATTCTACCCTGCCCCTGCCCCCTGTCTCGGATGTAGAGGATGCTCAGTCCAGGGGAAATCTGGCCGCTCTGTACACACAACAACACAACCCTCGCTCTAGGCTGAGGTCTGTGTGTGCGTATGTGCGTGTGTGTGTGTGTGCACATGTGTGTGCACGTGTGTGTGCACGTGTGTGTGTGCACGTGTGTGCATGTGTGTGTGTGCACGTGTGTGTGCGTGTGTGTGCGTGTGTATGTGTTTAGTATGTTGCCCCTCGCCACCGCCACCCCCGCCCCTCCTCCGGCACCTGCGATTTGTGCCTTTGGCCACTCGTCACATCCTTCCACCGAGGGCCCGGCTTGGTTGTTCGTTGTTTCATTCTCGCTTCGGTCAAGCCGCTCGCTCCCCTCGGCCCTCTGCCGCCGGGCGTCTCGCACGTGGCCCAGCTGCGTTAGAGGTTTCAAGTTTTCATTTATTTGGTATGGCCCTGTGAGCCATGGGGCTCTCGAATCGGTTGCAACCGCAACGAACAAATCATGAACAGAGAAACGTCTTAAAGCGACGACGACGCATAACAGAAACATCCTGGGATAAACCGGCAAATCTTCCAGGGAAAAAACCACACCGTATCGCAACGCTGCGTGCAAAAATTCCCAGTGTGATGCACGTCAAACAATACCAACCATAGGACAATTTAGATTAAAGTTGTCAGGCCAAGAAACATGGCTTAACCGTATGTTTTAGAAAGAGGGCCACCCACCACCACCACCACCACCGCTCGTCTGATGCCCGGCCACACACGGCACATTGATCGGGGGGGGGCACTACCCCCTTCATGCACTCATCTGGCGCGGTGCGTAAAAACATCGGACTCAGTGACCCGATTCTCGCTCACGGCCAACACCGGTGACGGTTATCTGAGCCCGGTCCTGGGCCTCCCCTAGGTCGACTCAGCCTCAAATGAGTACCCGGTGCGGTGTGCAATAAATATCGCCACTGGGGAGACAAAGGCGGCCGGGCGCGGTGCTGGCCGCCGAACCCCCTTCGTGTGCCGTGCCGGCCTTCGTAGGTGCTGCCCACTCGCTCACAGCCCTTGCCCCCCCCCCGCCCCCCAGCAGTCTTGAACATCGCTACACGGGGCGATCTTTGTGCGGGTTCACGCGAACTTGCGCCAACGAGCCCGACGGCGACCACCCCAACCCCCCCGACCCCCCTGACCCCCGACCTCGCGGCCCAACAGCCCAACACCGCTCACGGATCCTTCTACGAGAGCAAACACCGAGCCACTCGGGGGGGTAAACTTGCGCGCGCGCGTGCAGGCGACTCGCAACGCGCTGACCGGGAGCAAGCTGAAGGACGCCCTGCGGCACCACATGGTGGACAGGCGCCTGCTTCTGAGCGACATGCGACAAGGCGCCACCCTGCGCTCGCAGAACGCCGGCGGCACCATCAACGTCCAGCACTACGTCAACGGGGTGAGTGCCCGTGCGCGTGCCCAGCCCGGCTCCCCAGCTCTGTTGGAGGCTGCCGCACGGGCGGATCCTTCGCGTCCTCTTGCGCGTGCGCGTGTCGAGGGAGCGGCCGTGCGGCGGTTAGCGAGCCGAGCTTCCGACGAACCCCGGCGAAGCGAGTTCGATTGACGCTCACGGCGACCACAGATGACGGTTGTCCCCCACCGGTTCATGGGCCCCAACCTCCCCCGTAGATCGACTCGGACTCAATCGATGAACTGACGCGCTTACGATGTGAACATCGCCACTTGGGGGGGGGGGGGGGTGGAGGTGGGGGGGAGAGACAAAGGCTGCTGCTTTGGCGTGGTGCCGGGCACCCATCTTCCCCCCGCCATCGTGCACCGTGCCGGCCTTCATAGGTTGCTGCCACTCGCTAACAGCGCTTGCCCCGACAGTCTGCCGCAGGCCACGAACCGTTACCACCACCACCACCACAAACAGCCCGTTGGAGTGAAGCCCATTACCCCACGCTGGTGGAGTAACGTGTTCTGGCACGGCATCCCTGGTGCTGTGATTCGCAGTGTGATGTCGAAATGAAAAATAAACCACAGCGTAAAAAAGCCGCGAACGGCGACTTACTTCTCTTCCTACCGCCCACATCGCGACCAGGGCCAACGCGCGTAGCCCCAACAGCACCAGGAAGCACACAGACAAAGATCCCCACTGACACCGTGTAGCCTTAACAGAATGTTGGGGCAAGTGCTGTTAGTGAGCGCCTATGAAGGCCGGAACGGCACACGATGGGGATGGGCGTCCAACACCACGCCCGCGCGCCTTTGTCTCCCCAGTGGCAAAGTTTTTAACCCACCGTACCAGGTGCTCATTTGAGGCCGAGTCGACCTAGGGGAGGCCCAGGACCGATTCTAATCATCGTCACCGGTTGTTGGTGGCCGTGTGAAAGCCGGGTTCGTAGTTCCAGCGTAGCGCTAACCGCTCCACTGTTGAGGCTGAGTCGACCAAGAACACCACACATCCCACACACACACACCACACTGGTGCATTTATTTTCATAGTATTCAGTGCTTAAATAAATACAACCCAGAACCGGCAGGGAGCACATGATTTAATGGGAAGCTCCAGTAAATAAAGCAGAAATAATACACTTCGAAAAAAAAATAACCACCACCAATGCCAGATATAGTAATATACACGTGTGGCATAATCCTCGGTTAAATTAAACACGGCTCTCTGCACAACCACGCTGCGCTGAGCGAGTGATCGATGGCAATTCCACATTTGTATGACGGGGCCCAGTCCACCCGGCGACAAAGCACCGTCGACCAATCCCGTGGTGGTGACGCGCGGCTACCCAGCGCGTTCGAAACCACTTTGTTGAAAATGCGAAACTAAAATTGTGAAACAATTGAAGGCTGTTGACAAAACGCACGCGCCTCGTGTTCCCGAGTTCAGATCCACAAAGTTTTATTTTTTTACAACTTTGAATCGCACGTCATCGGCACACGATCTCACGTAGCTGACGTCAATGTGTGTTTTTTTTACATTTTCCTTTAACGTAGAATTAGTTATAGGGACCAAATGTCACCACCACCCTTCACTGGTATGCCCCGTTGATGAATTGCGTCACTCACGAAGCAGAACGCCGGAAACAAAGAAAAATCGAACTTCTCATTCATCTCTGGTTCCATTGGTTTCAGGATTACATTACTCCAGTTTCAACTTCATTCCGTTTAACCAAGTGAGAACCAGCATGAGTCTCGTGTCAGCGAGCTACCTGGGATATTAGTCTGCAAGGACGGGATGACGATTGCTGCTGTGTCGCTCAGCGCCACGGTGACTAGGAGATGTTAACTATCTCGCCTGGTATGCAGGAGGTCGTGGGTTCGATCGCGACCCTGACGCCTGCTGTATATTTGTAGTTTGTGTGTCTCTCTCTCATCATCATCATCACGTGGGCTAGGAGATGTTAACTACCTCGCCTGGTATGGAGGAGGTCGTGGGTTCGTGGCATAACTCGAGACATCTGCAGAGGAGCCGGATCCGGTAGTTTTGAACGAAATGAGCTGGCCTGTTTTACAAAATTAATAACCAGACAAAAATGTGGATCATGAGGTCGAGACGCATTCTAAATGTTTTAATACGTGATTATATTAAACCCCCGTCCAAGGCAAACTCTACCGCTATGGCAATTGTCCCTTCGGGGCTGATAAAATGAGTGTCCATTCGGGGAGATCGATTTACTGTGAACTCAACAGAACACCATTGCCTCGGGTGGATTGTCCCTCTACGTAGGATTTGCGGAATGTACGACACCCCCCCCCCCGTCCTCTCGGCGCCTGCTTCCAACACGCGAGACGCGCCTCGAACTTTGAATAATAACGTCTTAATAACAGCGGCAATTACAAATAATCCGGTTCGTTCAAATTTAATTTCCTCTTTAATAGAGATTTGCCACGCATAAGTTGCCGGGTGTGTCGGAGCACATCAACGCGAGGTTTGTCGCCCGTGCGAATGCAGGGGCTTAGTGGCGGTATTTTGCGTGGCGCAGCAGAATCCGTCCGATCGTCTCACTCCCCGCCAGACCGAGGGCATCTGCGGGAAGGGGAGAGTTCAATCCGCCAGATGTTGTTGCTGCGCATTAGACGGACACGTGGACCTTACCACCGGTGCGACATTTCTAATAGATCTTGATTTGAAGCTTTGGTGAAATGCAGGAATCCATTCTCTCTGGTTCTTTTTTGGTAAAGTCTGGTAGGTAGAAAAATAATAATAGATCACAACGCAAGACGGTTGCTCGTCTTGCCATCGAAACGTCGTGGTCTAGAATTGTTTCTGCCTACGTGACTTTACCGAAAGAACCAGAGTATATTCTTGTTTCCCTTCTACGTGGTGACTTTACCGAAAGAACCAAGAATATGAATCCCTGCAGTCACGAAAGCTTTAAATCAGAACCAGAGTATATTTCTAATCGAGTAGCTCGGTCTGATGCTTGGCGGTGAAAAGGATTTCTTTTTTAATTTGTTTCGAAGATCTCCCCTCCTGGGTTGAAGCGTGGCGCGGGCCGCGGAAATTTTGATGGAGGAGAAATTCTGGGAAATTCGCACCAAATCGCATTTTTTTGGGGGGTTTCGCTTAAATGTCCCCCTGGGCGCGCGCCGTTTGCGCTCCGCTGGAATCTCGCGGTGATTGCGCACCTTGAGCGCAAATGGCACTCGGTAATTACGCACGTCGGCCCTTGACAAATGTTCCCGTGTGAGATGAAAAATACAGCTCGCGAAGTTAATTTTTTTTTAATAATAATAAAAAAAACATTCACACGCGAAAGCTCTTGGCTTTGAAACGGCCGGCGGCGAGGGGGGGGGGGTAATCATAAAAATTAGAAAAATATATATGTACAGTTATACAAATTATAATAACATTTTAATAAGTGATAAGTAATATTAAAAATGTAATTATAAAAACATGTAAAAAATAATAAAGAAATAATGATAAAAGTAACATTAAAATAATCATTGATAACTAATAGTGAAAATGTAATTATGAAAAGGTATAAATAATAAGGAAATAATTATAAACAATAATAAAATAATAATAAATTATAAGTAATAGTAAAACATGTAATTATAAAAAGGTATAAAAAATAATAAGGAAATAATTATAAAAATATGAATGGAAAATTTAAATTAAAAATAGCTCCAATAGAAATAATACTATAATATATAATAATAATGAAAAATCGCAATAAGATGAAAAAAATATGATTATAAAAAAACGATAATACGACCACAAAATTACAATAGAAACGCATTGGAAAGACGTAGAGCAACGGACTCAGAGAGACTTTGGCTGTGTCCTCACCACCCCCCCCCCCCCCCCCGTATCTTCGATTAGCTCCGTACTCTGTGAAAGAAGTTAGACATACGTACGTGCAATCAGCGGCGATGGTTAAACAACCTAAACATTTTATTTGATCAAGTAAGGCCCACTCAGCTGGGTGGCTCTTTTTCAAGACGTGACCTGGCCATCGCAAACGATAGCTTGACGAAGTGGCTTGTCATCATCATCATCATCGCGTGGAAATTTATAGCAGCAGCCAAATACTCGAAACACGTGGTGACGTTGATCATAAACGTGGAAGGGAACAATCGGATGGACCCGGACAAAAATCCACGCGACCACAGAGAGAGAGAGAGACACACGCAAACTCCAAACATACAGCAGGCATCGTCAGGGTCGAGGTCGAACCCACGACCTCCTGTGTACCAGGCGAGGTAGTTAACATCTCATAGCCACCGTGATGATGAGAGAGAGAGACACGCAAACTCCAAATATACAGCAGGCGTCAGGGTGGCGATCGAACCCACGACCTCCTGTATACCAGGCGAGGTAGTTAACATCTCCTAGCCACCGTGATGATGATGAGAGTTAGAGAGAGACACGCAAACTCCAAATATACAGCAGCAGGCGTCGTCAGGCTCGGGACCGAACCCACGACCTCCTGCACACCGGGCGAGGTAGTCAACATCCCCCTCGCCGCAGCAGCACGCGACAGCGTCGCCGACGCGCGGTGACCACGGTGCCGGTGTCTCCGCGCGCGAACCCCCGCAGATCGTGACGGTGAACTGCGCCCGGGTGCTGCGCCCCAACTACCTGGCCACCAACGGCGTGGTTCACCTGGTGGACCGCGTGATCGCGCCGCTCACGCGCAGCGTCCGCGACATCCTCGAGACAACGGAGAGCCTGGGCACTCTGAAGGTGACGGCGCCGTGTGGGATCGCGGGGCTCGGGTGAAGACGTTAAGGAGCGTGTGGCGCAAGCGGTGACCATGCGCACCCACGGTGGGCAAAGTTTTGGGGGCGGGGGGGTGGAGTGGCCCTTGACAAAACCAAAGTGCGAGTACAAATAGCCGCACCCCCTGTTTCATGATTCCCTTACTCCGCCACCGCTTAGGCGCGGAGCGAAATAGGTTCAACGTGCTCATCGTGACGACGGACGCTTGTGTTGCGACCGAAACGTCGTGTTTCCTTTGTTATTTTTTTTTTCTAAATGAAAATAAAGTGAATAAAAAATAATAATAATAAATATGACGACGTGATTAAAACGTCGTGATATTTTTTTATCATTTTTTATTCACTTTTTAATTTTTATTTGTTTTATTTTGTTATTATTTTGTCTACCCACGTGACTTTACCGAAAGAACCAGAGAGTATGGATTCCTTACAGTCACGAAAGCTTCAAATCAAGAGGAAGTTCAACGTGCATAACCTAACGGAGTTGACTGTCAACTCACGGAGTTGACCGAAGATTGTGAACTCACAGACGTCACTACTCTCTCTCTCTCTGTTGGGGGAGGGGAGGGGGGGGGGTGGGGGGCTGTGCCTGAGTCCCTAAGCCAGCGGTGGAAATTCCACATTTCCATGGCCGGGGCCCAGTAACACTGCATAAGGTGGCAGCATGAATTCAAAAAGTAGCAAGGCAAATTATCGAACCTGGTGAGGGATGGGCGGCCTAGGTTGAGCCAACGTTGAAACGGGAGTTGACCCTGCGACACCCCCCCCCACTCCCACCCCACCACACCCCACCCCGTTGAGCTACGTTGGCTTCCAGTTGCCGAACGGATACGTGGATAAGGTTGCACTCATTCACACACACAAAGCGCTCGCCACAAATGCACCACGGACACCCCTGGCTGATCTCGTCAAGGAGCGCAAAACCACCATCGCGCGGACTTTCCGACCGTCATCGCCGCGGCAGCGGCGGAGGCTTTTGGCTACGAGCCGTCGAACAAACATGGCGGCGGTCACCGCGTCGCCGCGCGGCGCTTTCGGGGCGCGCTTCTGCGGCCGTCCGGAACGTTCCTTTCCTTCCGATACTGGGAAGCCACTGGAGCCACGATGCACTTTTAACAACCAGATTGGAGAAACGAATTTCTTTAAAACCTCCGTCGTGTTCAGCGAAAGCAATCCGCGAATCTGCCGCCGCGCCTGTCATTTTTCCCTGAACGCATCTACGCGACTTTGCCGAAAGACCCCAACGAATGCGTGAAACGCGCTGCGCACAATGCCCCCAATGGGCTCCGTCTCGCGTGACAACGTTGGCACACCGACGGAAATCAACGTTGGACGATGACAGTGGTCGTTGGTGCGCAACAGGTCATCTGCGCCGCGGGAATTTGTCTGGTAGATTCAGTTCTTGCAAATCGTTTTTTGCAGCAGCACAATCCCGCGCTCGACCAGGACGAAGCGTCATGCCATTCACCGGGTGTTTTAGACGGGTTTAGAGATACTGATGGTACCTTCCCTTTAGTATGGTCGGGTTGACGGGCCGTGCACAAGTGTGGGCTGAACTCCTGGTGTCAGCATGAGCCTCAAATGAGTACCTGGGTGCGATGGTTGTAGACATCGCCACTGGGGAGTCAAAGGTGGCCAGGCGTGGTGCTAGCCAGCCACCCAGCGCCGGATTAAGCTAGTGCGGGGCCTGTAGCGTATGTCATGAAGATGCCCTAAATAAACAAACCAAAAAACACGTAAATATTAAAACACTATTTTTTTTAATTTGCATAGTAAGGTAATTGAATGTTATCATTTGCTATACGGCCAGATAACACGAGAAATCGCTAACCTCAAACACCCAGTCGTTCGTAAAAGTCGAAGGCGGTATAGTACTATAGTGATAGAGCAAGTGTAGAATCGCTCAACCGGAATCGATAGCTTGAAAGCATTCGGCGCGGGGCCCTTGAAAGTGCGGGGCCCCGTAGCTGCATGTGTAGCTACTTGTGCTGCTGGGGTCATCCGGCACTCCCCCAACCCCCTCGTGTGCTGTGCCGGCGTTCACAGGTGCTACTCGCTAACAGCACTTGCCCCATCAGTCTGTTAAGGCTACACGGGGGATCTTTGTCTTTGTAGGTTCTACTCGCTAACAGCACTTGCCCCATCAGTCTGTTAAGGCTATACGGGGGATCTTTGTCTTTGTAGGTGCTACTCGCTAACAGCACTTGCCCCAACAGTCTGTTAAGGCTACAAGGGGGATCTTTGTCTTTGTAGGTGCTACTCACCAACAGCACTTGCCCCATCAGTCTGTTAAGGCTACACGGGGGATCTTTGTCTTTGTAGGTGCTACTCGCCAACAGCACTTGCCCCATCAGTCTGTTAAGGCTACAACGGGGGATCTTTGTCTTTGTAGGTACTACTCGCCAACAGCACTTGCCCCATCAGTCTGTTAAGGCTACACGGGGGATCTTTGTCTTTGTAGGTGCTACTCGCCAACAGCACTTGCCCCAACAGTCTGTTAAGGCTACACGGGGGATCTTTGTCTTTGTAGGTGCTACTCGCCAACAGCACTTGCCCCATCAGTCTGTTAAGGCTACACGGGGGATCTTTGTCTTTGTAGGTGCTACTCGCCAACAGCACTTGCCCCAACAGTCTGTTAAGGCTACACGGGGGATCTTTGTCTTTGTAGGTGCTACTCGCCAACAGCACTTGCCCCAACAGTCTGTTAAGGCTACACGGGGGATCTTTGTCTTTGGCGTGTGGGGAGCGGTGGCACGACGGTCAGCGCACGCACCGCGCTACGAACCCGATGACTCGAGTTCCGATTAAACTACCAAAATAGACGTTGCCATGGTGAGGGTGGAAAGGCTGCCGTGTGAAAACGGCGAGCAGTGTGTGCCACGAGAGATGTCGATGGTTTTGTGAGGGTCTCTGCGTCTAGAGGCCAGGATCGTCACTGCCAGCCGTCGTATCTCCGTGGGAGCCCCCGCCGACCGGTACGTGGCCTGTCGTCATCATTGTCACCATTGTCATCACTGTGACCATCGTCATTATTGTCGTCATCGTCATCATTGTCACTATTGTCATCACTGTGACCATTGTCATCATTGTCGTCATCGTCATCATTGTCATCATTGTCACCACTGTGACCATTGTCATCATCGTCGTCATCGTCATCATTGTCACCATTGTCATCATTGTCACCACTGTCATCACTGTGACCATTGTCATCATTGTCGTCATCGTCATCATTGTTACCATTGTCATCACTGTGACCATTGTCATCGTTGTCGTCATCGTCATCATTGTTACCATTGTCATCACTGTGACCATTGTCATCGTTGTCGTCATCGTCATCATTGTTACCATTGTCATCACTGTGACCATTGTCATCATTGTCGTCATCGTCATCATTGTCATCACTGTGACCACTGTGACCATTGTCATCATCGTCATCATTGTCAATATCGTCATCACTGTGACCATTGTCATAGTTGTCGTCATCGTCATCATTGTCACCATTGTCATCACTGTGACCATTGTCATCGTTGTCGTCATCGTCATCATTGTCACCATTGTCACCACTGTGACCATTGTCATCGTTGTCGACATCGTCATCATTGTCACCATTGTCATCACTGTGACCACTGTGACCATTGTCATCATCGTCATCATTGTCAATATCGTCATCACTGTGACCATTGTCATTATTGTCGTCATCGTCATCATTGTCACCATTGTCATCACTGTGACCATTGTCATTATTGTCGTCATCGTCATCATTGTCACCATTGTCATCACTGTGACCATTGTCATCATTGTCATATCGTCATCATTGTCATCATCGTCATCATTGTCATCATTGTCATCACTGTGACCATTGTCATCATTGTCGTCATCGTCATCATTGTCACCATTGTCATCACTGTGACCATTGTCATCGTTACCGTCATAATCATCATTGTCACCATTGTCATCACTGTGACCATTGTCATCGTTGTCGTCATCGTCATCATTGTCACCATTGTCATCACTGTGACCATTGTCATCATTGTCGTCATCGTCATCATTGTCACCATTGTCATCACTTTGACCATTATCATGATCGTCGTCATCGTCATCATTGTGACCATTGTCATCACTGTGACCATTGTCATCATTGTCGTCATCGTCATCATTGTCATCATCGTCATCATTGTCACCACTTTCATCACTGTGACCATTGTCATCATTGTCGTCATCGTCATCATTGTCACCATTGTCATCACTGTGACCATTGTCATCATTGTCGTCATCGTCATCATTGTCATCTTCGTCATTGTCATCATCATTGTCATCATCATTGTCATCATCGTCATCATCGTCATCATTGTCACCATTGTCACCATTGTCATCACTGTGACCATTGTCATCATTGTCGTCATCATTGTCATCTTCGTCATTGTCATCAGCATTGTCATCATCATTGTCATCATCATTGTCATCATCGTCATCATTGTCACATTGTCATCACTGTGACCATTGTCATCATTGTCGTCATCGTCATCACTGTCATCTTCGTCATTGTCATCATCATTGTCATCATCGTCATCATTGTCATCATCGTCATCATTGTCAACATCATCATTGTCATCACCATAATTGTCATCATCGTGATTGTTATCATCATCGTCATCATTGTCACCATTGTCATCATCGTCATCATCGCCATCATCGTCATCATCGTCATCATCATCATCATTGTCTTCGTCATCATTGTCATCATCGTCATCATTGTTCCCACTGCTGCTGCACCTTAGCAGCGGCGTTCAACCTACAGCGACTTTTAAACTAAAGTATAAACTATTTTTTTTATTTTATCAGCTCAGGCCCACTGAGCTCTGTAGCTCTTTGTCAGAAGCGACCTGGCCACAAATGATAGCCCAACGAAGTGGCTCATCATTATCATCACGTGTGGACATATATAGTAGTAGCCGAATACTCTGA